CATCCCCTTCACGCGCGTCTCCGAAAGGCTGGGAGGCCGGGTTCTTGGAGCCGGGCGTGGGGAGGCGTGTGTTTCCTCGCTGTGCCTCCTGAAACGTTCCAGCGAGCTGGAGACCGTGGGCGGGGCTGCGGCAACCGGCGCCGACTCCTCTTTTATTGCCATTTTTAGAGGCAGGGTCTCGCCCTGTCCCCCAGGCGAGTGCAGATCCTCCCGCCTCGGCCTCCCCCAGCGCTGGGATGATGGGTGAGCCGTGTCCAGCCCCTGACTCTTTTGTCTCCAGGGCATAGGCTAGAACCATTGGGAACTGGCCTTCCTTGGTTGGCTTCAGCGCAGCAGCACCAGGTGCTAGGCCTAACTGATGCCCAGTGCCGTGCGCTCAGGGAGAATGCAGGGTGAATCTGCAGCTAAGAGCGTTCAGACGGTCCCTGGTTGTCAGAACAGCGACAGGGCGGCCTCTCCGCTGCAGCCCCTCCTAGAGCCCGGGGCTGAAGAGATGTTGTGCAGGCCAGCCACCTGGCTCTCCGTGTGTCCACTTCTGCACCTCAAGGCCTCGACTCTGGGGGGGCGCAGAGATTGCACCTTCTGATGTCCACTTTGAAATGCGTGCATCTGCCTTACAGGGGCTGAGCGAATACCAGAGGAACTTCCTGTGGAAGAAGTCATACTTGACCGAGGCCTGCCCCTCCAGGGGACGCAGGTACCCGTGGGCTGGTCTTCGATCAGACCAGCTGGGTAAGTCGAGCCCACTCCCGGCTGTTGCAGCTTGAGTAAGCCTGGGCTGACCGCAAGGCGGGTTGTGATGGTCACAGGCCTGGCCGTCTCCCCACTCAACAGTATCCATCGAGGAGTGCATGAGTCTGAAGATGGCAGCTGTGTGGCTGTGGGCTCCTCAAGCCTGACTCGCCAGCAGGGTTTTGGGAAGCCCCGCTCAGGACGCTGGGTCTGGTGTGTCAGGGGCCCGAGGTCATGTCAGGGCATGCGGCGTGCAAGTTCCTCATGTGTGAGGTGATCGCAGCCAGAAAGGGAAGGCGTAGGGGCTAGGGGCCACACTGAGCAGTGAGTGAGGTGCGGAGGGCACCTCCAGGCAGGCAGGCCTGAAGGAAGAGGGCCAGCGTGGGCGGCCCTCCAGGGTCTGCCAGAGCACCAGGTTCCGACTCAGGGCCTGACGGCAGAGACGGTGTCCCTGCCTCTCGAGGGTGCTGGGAGCGCCCCTGTTCACAGTCTCTTCTTCCAGTCCCCCAGGAATTGCACACGTCCGAGGCTCCGTTGGTTAAGAGTCCAGATCGGTCTCTAAGTGTGGATGGTGTGGCCCTGGGAACTGGTGGAGCTGGGGGTTGCTCTCAGACCGTTGTGGCTTCCATCTGTTGCATTTGAGGGGAGGGGATGCAGGGCAGCCGGGTGCAGAGCCTCTCAGAGCTTGGTGCCTGGGAGGGAGGTCTGGGAAGGCAGGTGGTGGGGATGTAGGTGGGGGCGGAGCAAGAGCCCGGGTGCCGGGCCAGCAGGACAGCCGTGGCCACAGGACAGTTTGTGCTTTCTTGAGCAAGTTTCCCCTGGGGTTTGCGGGCTGGGACACAGACAGGCCCCTTGAGACCTTCCCTCTGCTGTTACTCCTGTGCCAAAAACCTGCCTCTGCAGCCAGGCAGGGACCCGGTGATCTTGGACTCAAAAGACTTAGAAGAACATTGTGCTTCTTCACACTTTTTTTTTTTGAGCTGACTCCTTACTTTGTTACCCAGACTGGAGTGCAGTGGTACGATCACGGCTCACCGCAGCCTCGACCTCCTGGGCTCAGGTGATCCTCCCGCCTCAGCCTCCTAAGTAGCTGGGACTATAAGCACGCACCACCACACCAGGCTAAGTTTTTGATTTTTTGTAGAGATGAGCTCTCTCTTTGTTGCCCAGGACTCAAGCAGTCTTCCTGCCTCAGCCTCCCAAAGTGTCCCTGTGTGGTTGGCAGAATTTTCCCTGGTGGCGACCATTCACTGCCTCCCCTCACATGGGCATACGTGTGCTGTGTGCACCCATGGGCCCCACCCCATGGTGTACTGAGGAGAGCAGGGACCTGGGCTGGGGGCCCAGCCTCCTCTCGTGGGTCCAGTACCTGCTTGCTGGCAGTGTCCTGCAGGAGCTTGGGCTCTGCTTGGTGACACACAGGTGGCCTCCCTACTTGCCTGGCCAAGAGGGGCGTCTGCTTTGGTGAGGGGTGAGGGCAACAGTAACATGGCGGGAGGTGGTCGCAGCCGGTGGTGGGTGAGGCAGCCTGGTGGGCGCACGTGCATTGCTGGGGGTCTGGAAAGTGACCCTCAAGCTGCCTGGGCGTCCTCATGTGCCCCTGGGCAACGACTACTGGGCTGGGGAGCCGTGGGGGGCCCTGGGGCTGTGGCCCGAGCCGGCCTCGTGTCGTCCTCCCCAGCCTCTCCTCGCCCTGGCCTGGTTTCCTCGCCCTGTGCCTGCCCTCTCCACTGGGGACAGTCTGAACTGGGGCAGCCTCTGCGGTTGGGTGCGTCCTGCGGGTTGCTCTCCAGACAGAGCGGAGACAGCATGTCCAGCTCCCGATGAGGGCTGGTCTTTGAAGTCCAGGAGGCCAAGGCGGATATGGAGCCCAGGCCAGCAGCAGTGCAGCCCACCCCTGCCCGTCTGGGCCTCCCCCGCATAAGAGACGCTTTGTGAAAGGCCCAGGTCTGGCAGAAGCGGGCCCTTGGTCCTGCCAAGTGGCACAGGAAGGTAACTGGACCCAGCAGCACAGGCTGCCCGCTGGTGGCTCTGTCAGGGTGACTCGGATGTGTGACCCCAATTTTTGTGTTCTGTTATGATCGAATTTTTAGTACCTCTTTAAGCAAAACTAGACATTTTATGCTGAAAGGCTGTCCTTGCTGTGTTACCTGGTGAGCTGAGGGTGTTGCGTGTGTGTAGACACACATATCTCAACTCAGTTATGCTAAATACCGTTTCTCCTCTAAAGTTGTCTGTGCAACTTTTTGCTCCTGTAGCTGCGATTTTTGTGTGCCATGTTTTGTAGGGATCACGAGAGAGCCGAGTTTTCTTTCAAAGAGAAGAGTGCCCCACCACGACCCACAGATTTCCAAGTCTCTCGAGTGGGATGGCGCCACCTCAGGGAGCCGTGTGGCTGTGTCCCCGAAGCCCGAGGTCCCAGAGCTTCCAGGAGCACAAGGACCCGAACACACAGATGCAGCCCAACAAGGAGTTCTCGCGCTGGAAGCGTCCAGTGTTCCCAAGAGAACCAGATCTCACTCGGAAGACTCCGGAGTGGAGGGGGCTTCCGAGGTCGTGGAGAACAAGGCGGCTGTGACGGCACGCCCCAGGCCGGCTGCTGACCCCGTGGGCCTGGAGCCTGCCACCAAGCCTCCTCTGGAAAGCGTGGATGCCGGGGTAGGTGCCTGCCTGTGTTTCTGCTCCCTGCGTGGTTCTTCAGCGGTGCTGCAGCATCACGCCGGGTCGAGCTTTCCCTTGTGTGCTTGTCTGCCGCCGGAGGCCGTGGCTGGGGTCATGTGCTGATCCTTGCCACCCACCGCACTGAGGCTGTCCTGAGACCTCCCTGCGCAGGGGCCTTCTGCC